GGAAGGGGTGCTGACGAGGCCGGCGCTGAGGATGCCGGAAAGGATGCTGACGAGGTTACCTCACGAGTGATGGGAGGCCCTGCCTCTGGCGGGAGAGAGCGATTGAGGGCCCAGCTGTTCAGTAAGTGAGCGGCGGTCCAGGCCTTCTTCTTTGCGGTCGCGGGTGAGTCACTGATTCAGTCCTTGCTCTTGCTAAGGCGATAGGGTACCCTCCGCGCCTTTTCCATTGCGCGCTGTGGCTCAGCTGCTGCTCGCACTGATGGCTGCTCGTTCCTGGCCGAACCGAGGCCTTGCCTAGGCCTCTGGCGTGGCCGAGTCACTGCCTCTGGCGTGCCGCTGCCTCTGGCGCGCCTTCTGAGGCCAAGGCGGCGTCGCGGCAGCTCGCGCCGCGACGCTTGCGAGCGGAAAAACACGTCGTCGTCATCGCCGCCACCGTAGTAGGCGCCATCATGACCACCCACATCATCAGCACAATCAGCGACATCATGACCACCGACATCATGACCATCGTCATCGTGACCCCTGACATCATGACCACCGACATCATGACCATCGTCATCACGACCACCTACGTCATCTCAATCCAGAGCCTCCCCTCGCAAAACTAAACGAGACCCTTGGAAAACTAGACAGGGCCATGCCACAACTAAACGAGACCCTAGGAAAACTAAACAGAACCTTGTCAACATTAGACGAGACCCTAGGAAACGTACACAGGACCCTAGCACAATTAAGCGAGACCCTAGGAACGCTAAACAGGACCCTACGAAAACCAAACGAGACCCTAGGAAAATAAACAGTGCTTTGCCAAAACTAAACGAGACCCTCGGAAAACTAAACAGGACCCCGCCAAACAAGACCTTAGGACACTTAGACAACACCCTAGGACAACTAAGCAAGACACGGTGGCAACTAAACAGGACCCTACCACAAGTAAAGGAGACCATGGGAAAACAGGGCCCTAGCAAATCTAAACGAGACCCTGGGAAAACTAAACAGGACCCTGCCAGCACTAAACGAGACCCCAGGACAACTAAACAGGACCCTAGCACAATTACACGGTGCCCTAGGGCACGTAAACAGGACCCTAGCAACACTAAACGAGTCCCTCGGAAAACGAAGCAAGACCCTAGCAAAACTAAGCGAGACCTTCGGACAACTAAACAGGACCATCGGAAAGGTACACAGGATCTGACCAACATCAAACGAGGCACTGCCAAAACTAAACGAGACCATCGGACATCTATGCTGTGCCCTACCAAAATTACACGGGACCCTAGAAACAACTAAACAGGACCCTACCAAAGCGAAACGAAACACCAGGAAAACTACACTGCACCCTAGGACAACTAGACACGACCCTACCAACGCTACACATGACCCCTCCAATTCTAAACGGGACCCCAGGACAACTAAACGAGATCTTAGGAAAACCAACAGGACCCTACCACAACTACACGAGACCTTGCGAAAACTAAACAGGACCTTGCCAAGACTACACGAGACCGTAGGACATCTAAACAGGACCCTAGCAACACTAAACGAGACTTTAGGCAAACTAAACAGTACCCTACCAAAACTAAACGAGACCCTAGGACAATTAAACAGGACCCTACCAAAACTCAACGAGACCCTGAGAAAACCAAGCAGGACCCTGCCAACATTCAACGAGACCATCGGAAAACTAAGCAGGACCCTACCAACACGAAACGACACCGTAGGAAAGTTAAACATAACCCTAGCAAAACTAAGCGAGACCATAGGACAACTAAACATGGCCCTACCACAATTAAACGAGACTTCATAAACACTAAGCAGGCCCGTAGGCAGAATATACAAGACCACGCGAAAACTAAACAGGTCCCTGCCAAAATTAAACGAGACCCCAGGACAACTCAACAGGACCCTACCACAAGGAAAGGAGACCCTCGGACAACTAAACAGGACCCTGCCACAATGAAGCAAGACCGTGCGAAAACTAAACATGACCCTACCAAAACTAAACGAGACCCTGGGACAGCTAAACATGACCCTACCAAAAGTAAAGGAGACCTTAGGACAACTAAATAGGACCCTAACACAACTAAACGAGAGCCTAGGACAACTAAACAGGACTTTGTTAAAACTAAGCGAGACCCTAGGCAAACTAAACATGACCCTAGCGCAACTAAACGAGACCCTAAGACAACTAAACAGGGCCTTGCGAAAATTAAACGAGACCCTGCGACAACCTAACCAGGACCCTAGCAAAACTAAACGAGACCCTACTTTTAAACGAGACCATAGGACAAGTAAACAGGACCCTACCAACCCTAAACAAGACCCTAGGACAACTAAACATGACCGTGGCAACATTAAACGGGACCCTGGGGAAATTAAACAAGATCCCAGCAAAACTAAGCGAGACTTTGGGACCACTAAACAGGACCCAGCTAAAACAGCGCGACCATAGGAACACTAAACAGGACCCTCGCAAAACTAAACGAGACCCTAGGACAACTATGCAGGACCCTACCACCACTAAACGAGACCATAGAATACATAAACATGACCCTAGTAAGACTAAACGAGACCCTTGGGAAACTAAACATGACCTTCGCAACACTAAACGAGACCATTGGGAGAATAAGCAGGACCCTGGCAACGCTAAACGAGCCCCTAGGAACACGAAACATGACCCTGCCAAAATTACACGATACCCTAGCAACACTAAACAGAACCCTAGCAAAACTAAACGGGACCCTGGGAAAATGAAGCATGACCCTACCACAACTAAACGAGACCCTGGGACAACTAAACAGGACTTTGCCGCAACTAAACGAGACCCTAGGACAACTAAACAATACCCTACCACAACTAAACGAGACCTTAGGAAAGTTAAACAGGACCGCGGCACAACTAAACGAGACCACGCGAAAACTAAACAGGACCACCGCAAAACTAAACGAGACCAGAGGAAAATGAAACAGAACCTTAGGACAACTAAAAGAGACCATGGGCAACTAAACAAGACCATAGGACAACTAAACGAGACCCAAGGGCTCTTTAACAGGACACCAGCAAAACTCAACGAGATCCTAAAGACAACTAAACAGGACCCTACCACAAACTAAACGGGACCCTAGGACAGCTCAAGAGGACCCTAGCAACACTAAGCGAGACCCTAGGAAAACTAAGCGTGGCCCTAGCAAAACTAAACCAGACCCCGGGGAACATTAAACAAGACCCTAGCAAAACTAAACGAGACCCTAGGCATACTAAACAGAACCCTACCAAAACTAAACGAGACCCCAGGACAACTAAACGGGACTCTGCCACAAATAAGCAAGACCACGCGAAAACTAAACAGGACCCTACCAAAACTAAACGAGACCCTCGGACAACTAAACATGACCCGACCAAAAGTAAAGGAGACCTTGGGAAAATAAATAGGACCATAAAACCAACTAAAGAGAGCCTAGTACAACTAAACAGGACTTTGTCAAAACTACGCAAGACCCTAGGCAAACTAAACATGGCCCTAGCAAAACTGAACGGGACCCTAAGACAACTAAACAGGACCCTGCGACAACTATACGAGACCCTAGGACAACTAAACAGGACCCTAGCAACACTAAACGAGACCGCAGGACACTTGAACATGACCTTGGGACAGCTAAACGAGACCCTAGGAGAAGTAGGCGTTCGTTGGTGTGCGTTTTCAGCTTGTCGTGCGCCTCCCTGATGGCTTTGATCATCATCATCATCAGCGGTGTCGGCTCTCTGCGCGAGTAGTTTGCCTTCCGCCCTCTTCCCGAAGCACCATGGGCAAGAGGGCAGCTGACCTGGCGACCGCGTCGCCTGCGAAGATGGCGGCGGCGGCCTCACCAGACGCTGCGGCCTCTCCAGCCGCTGCCTCTGGCGCGTCACCAGCCGCTGCGGCCTCGCCAGCCGCTGCCTCTGGCGCGTCGCCCGCCTGGCGCGCCGCCAGCCGTTGCCTTTGGCGCGCCGCCTGCCCCGCTGCGCATCAATCAGCTCCTCGAGATGGAGAACGCGTCGACGCAGCAAGGTGCTGTCAAGGACTGGGCGCTCCAAGTGAAGGGCTACGTCGACCAGGCTTTGCTCATCTTCCTGGAGCAGCGCAGGCGCGAGGTGTCCTTCGTGGTGCCCGCCCAGTGTTCTTTGATTGCGCCGTTGGCCATCACTGATGCTGCCTCTGGCGCTAACCTCGCTTCGTTTCGCGAGGTCATGGACTTCGACAGCCTGTTTGCGAGCTTCTCCCGCACCGAGAAGTACGAGGCGGCGGGGGCGGCGTGGATGTTGGGCCCGGTTTGCGCGGACATCGACGACGTCACCGTAAGTCAGCTCGAGGGTGCCATGAGCATCTGGTCGGAGGAGACGTTCCTCCTCTCCTTGAAGCACGCGCCCTCGCGGCGCCTGACCGTCGACGTGCCTCTCCCCGCCTCGGTGGTCGACGCTCAGGCCGCCCAGCGCCTTGAGCCTGGCAAGCCTGGAGTTCGCTTGACAGAGCCTCTGGCCATCATCGCGGGCCGCGCGGCGGTGATCACGTGGCGTTCTGCCATGGGCGAGGCGCTCCGGGAGTCCAACGAGGACCGCGTGTGGCGTCTGTTCAATGCCGCGCTGTCCGTCCCCATCAGGATGCGCGCGCTGCCCGATGCGGACGCGGCCCACTTGGCGGCCCTGAGTTTCGGAGAGAAGATGTTCACTGCGAGTGCTGCCTCTGGCGCAGATTGCTCCTGGCTGTTCGCAGAAAAAACGTGCCGCTTGACAAGCGTGCGCGCCAGTCTCGCCAAATCGGAAGCAGTGGCGAAGCTGGAGGCCGCGCTGAAGGCCTACGGCCTCCAGTTCAAAGGGAAACCGCGCACTGCCGCAACTGCCGCGGCGCTGAAAGGTTTGCGCGCGTTCGTCCTCGACGGCGCCCGCGCTTCGGCTTTCTCGCTGGCCGAAGCATATGTCCCAGAGTTTCGCTAACCTACGCTTCTCATGAAGATCGGCTTCGCATGCTCCAAAGGGCTGTCTCTGACGACAAGGCCAGGGAATTGTTCGTTTTCACCCTGGGCACTTTCCGCGTGGCCCGCCTGGCGGGCGACGTCCCGAATGGCGAGAAACTGGCCGTGGGCCGGGTCTGCGGGCGCGATTGTAAATCGCCGGGGATGCCCCGCGCGCTCTTCAAGAAAAAGGAGCTCGTCGAGTACATTTGTCACGAGGCCTTTCTCATGCATAAGGAACATGGGCGCGAAATGGCAGCATTCAAAACACCTCTCCGCATCCTCCAGCGGTTCGCTGCCTCTGGCGCGGATGGGCTCGTGGCTTCGCACCGCGTGTCCGACTCAGGCGGCGGCGCCGACGGGATGGAGATATTGTTCGCGCCCCCCGTGGTTGAGTGTCGGAAAACCGTGGATTGCAAGTCGAAGGCGATGATCGACGTCGCGTGGCCTCTGTGGGCGGGCGCTTTCGACGACGAAATCGTCGAGCTTGCCAAGCAGGAGATGCAGAACAGCGCGCCTGCGTTCGTCTGGCACACGTACCTCACCGAGACCAGCCAGGAGGTGGGTGCCAAGTACCGCGCTTTCGTGACCGCCTGCGCGGGCGGGCCGATCCCCGCCGACCCCGAGCTGGATGCAAATCTCGGCTTGTTGGGGATGTCCGAGCTCGGGGAAGAACAACAGGAAGAGCTCGCCAAACTCCAGGAGCAGCTCAAGCTTCTTCGCAAAAGAGAAGTGAAGTTCGTCAGTTTGCCATCTGTCGTCGCTGCCTCTGGCGCGGAGTACTCAGTGGGGCAGATGCAGAGCGCGTGGGATGCGCTCGGCCATGGGCACCGCTTCGCGAGGAAGAAGACCGACGTTCGCGCGTTCGTCCTCTCAGCGGAGCTCTTCCCGCCCAACGTCGTCAAGCAAGGCGTCAAGGCGAGGCTGTGCGAGCAGTTGGCGTGCGACGAGGCGAAGTTCAAGCGAGTCATCGAGTTCTTCGTGCAGACGAGGCAGAAGGATTGCATCCTCATTTTCCTCGACGGCAGGAGCCGCGCGAACCGCCGGGTCATTGAGACCGCCGAGGCCAAGTTGGAGTCAGGGGGCCCCGCGCGTTCGTTGAGCGCTGGATCGTGCACGAGCAGCCAAACAAGAAGGAGGATCCGCGGTCCCCGGCCAGGGCGCACAGCTACACCAGGAACAACAGGGAGACGGCGATCTCCTCGCTGCCAGTCAAGGGCCCGCGGAAAGTGGTGCACCGTTCGGAGTTCAACGCGCGCGGCGAGTCCTCGACCGCAGACACGACGTACACTGGCGCCACAATGCGGCGTCTTTCCGAGCTCCCTCGCCTGAGCTACGAGACCGAGGCGAGCATCCTGGGAGCTGCATCTTGCGCTAGCGTTGACGGCGCCAACTCGAAGATGCCGCGCCTGCAGGCAGACATCGATTCGAAGGGCCACCCGTTCTCGTATAACGAGGTGAAGCCCATCAGCCTGTGGCAGACGATCATGGGGCACCACAACGTGACCCGCATCGTGGACTTCACTCCAGGCTCTGGCGCCTTGGCTGTTGCTGCCGCTGGCGCAATGGAGTGCGAAGGCGTCGCTTGCAACGATGACCGTCGGGACTGGCTCGACTCCATCGTGGACAGGTGCGTGATGCACGAGGCGGGCCACGAGGAGGGGTGCGCGCATCAATTGGGCGGCGACGCCGACTTCGTCGAGAAAGCCAGCAAGTATTTCAGCGGAACCATGATGGAGGCGAAACGTCTGCTGATGCCGCTGGTCGACGAGGACGGCGGGGGCGAGGAGGAGGACGAGGGCGAGGATAACGAAGAGTAGGCGACGCACTGCCTCTGGAGTGCCACGACGTGTGAATTTGACACAGCTGCCGCCAGCTGCTGCACGGCGCCCCATGCTTCCTGGCCAGGGCCGGTCTTCCTCGTCCTGGTTTGACTTTGACTTTTGGCCGCCACGCGCGGAAGTCTCGGTTCGGAAAAAGTGATATCGTCCCCGACGACTCCGCCTCTCCGACGACTTCCCGACGACTCCCCGACTCTCAGACTCCCCGACTCCCGACTCCCCGACCGACTCCCCGACTCCCCGACTCCGAGGAATACTGCGATCTGCCCTCAATTTCCAGAGTGCCCCGTGGTCCCCGGACTGTCCAGAAGGTGCTGTCGGTACTCGTTCCTCTGCTGGCAACGCTAGCGTCGGATGCCAGCTTAGTGCAAGTGCGAAGTTCAGGTGACCTGAAAACGGCCGAAGGGCACCATCCGTAGCAATTTGATCTCAATCCCTTCCCGACGCCCTTCGCGACTCCTTCCCGACGCTCTTCCAAGCTATGGCCCTTCAAGACGCCGAGTACTGCATGATCACGGAGGGCGATATGGCGGCCGTGCCGCAGCAGCAGGAGGAGGCGCCCACCATCAACTACGAGCAGGATGGAGGATCCGAAGGCGGAGCCCATCATCAACAACGAGCAGAATGCCGCAGCAGCAGGATGCCGCAGCAGCAGGAGGCGGCCATGCCGCAGCAGCAGCAGGAGGAGGCGCCGCATGATGGAGGCCAAGATTCGCCCGTCATCAACTACGAGCAGGAGGAGGAGGAGCCGAAGGAGCAGAAGAAGGCAGTGGAAGACGCTGCCTCTGGCGCAGAAGGTGGTGCTGCCTCTGGCGCAGAAGGCGGCGACTCGGCGATCTGGCAGTGGCAAGAGAGGAGCGTCACCAGACAGCTCGCCTGGATCGACATTGACTCAGACATTTGCCAGAAACTAATGATGCGATGCATGACTACTACGCGGTCTCCCCAGGCCCTGCTGACCCTATGCCCATCGTGTGCTACACTGACAAGGGTGGCACCCGCAAGTGGTGTGCGAACATGAAGACAATGACGCAGACCCGCTGTTGGCCTGACGGGGGCCGCGGGGGGGCGACGTGGACGATTCGCCAGATCGCATTGCTTCGAGACTAGCTGGGTCGCACAAACACGTTTTCCCGCTGGGCTCCTTTTGAGCCTTTTGGTGCCATTGGTTGGCGCCCGCCCTGCCGCGGGAGGGGCGCCGCGTAAGCGGCCAGGCTGGCCGGTTGCATGTGGCCAAAAACACCAAATGGGAGTAGGGGAGAGAGGGAAGAGGTGGAGAAAGGAGGAGGGCGAGGATTGTGGAGACCGATCGGAAGCGTTGCTTTTGAACCAAGAGGCGTTAGTTTTGGTAGGGTCCTGTTTCGTTGTCCTTAGGGCCTCGTGTAGTTTTGGTAGGGTCCTGTTCAGTTTTCCTTGGGTCTCGTTTAGTTTCTGGTAGGGTCATGTTTCGTTGTCCGATGGTCTCGTTTAGTTTTGGTAGGGTCCTGTTTAGTTTTCCAAGGGTCTCGTTTAGTTTTGGTAGGGTCCTGCTTAGTTTTCCGATGGTTTCGTTTAGTTTTGCCAGGGTCTTGCTTAGTTTTCCAAGGGTCCCCTTCAGCTTTTGTAAGGTCATGTTTCGTTGTCCGAGGGTCTCGTTTAGTTTTGGTAGGGTCCGGTTTAGTTTGCCTACGGTCTCGTTTAGTTTTGGTACGGTCCTGTTTGGTTTTCCTAGGGTCTCGTTTAGTTTTGCTTGGGTCCTGCTTAGTTTTCATTTGGGCTCGTTCAGTTTTGGTAGGGTCATGTTTCGTTGTCCTAGGGTCTCGCTTAGTTTTGGTAGGGTCATGTTTAGTTTTCCTCGGGTTTCGCTTAGTTGTGCTAGGGTCGTGTTTAATGTTCCGAGGGTCTCGTTTAGTTTTGCGGGCCCTGTATAGTTTTCATTGGTTTTTGTGCAGTTGTCCTAGGGTCTTGTGTAGTTTTCCATCCGTTTTGTTTAAATTGCCTACGGTCTTGTTTAGTTTTCCCAGGGTGTTGTCTAGTTTCCCTGTGGTATTGTTTCGGTCTAGTTTCCGAGGGGCTCGCCTCGTTTTCCGTGGGTATTGTTTAGTTTTCGTTGGGTCTTGTTTAGTTGTCGTAGGGCCTGGTCTAGTTTTCATAGGGTCTCGTGTGTTTTTCCTCGGGTCTTGTTTACTTGTCCTACGGTCTTGTCTAGTTTTCCTAGGGTCTTCTTTAATTTGTCTAGGGTATGGTCTTGTTTTCCTAGGGCCTTGTCTGGTTGTATTAAGGTCTTATAGTGTGTTCCTAGTTTGGCTCTTGTCTAGTTTTCCGACGGTCTTGTTTAGTTGTCCTAGGGTTTTCTCTAGTTGTCCTAGGGTCTCCCATTTTTTTCATTGGTAGTGTTTAGTTTCCCCATGGCTGCGTGGCTGTGTTTAGTTTTCTCCTGGTCGTGTTTAGTTTTTCCCTGGCTCGTTTGGTTTTCTCCTGGTCGTTTTTATTTCCCAACCAACCTGTGTTGTTGGGTCCTCGTTTTGAAGAGACAGCGCCCCGCGTTCCTTCATTCATTCCTTCCTTCCTCCTCCCGCTGCCTCCTCCCTCCTCCCCCTCCTTGCTTCTGCATCATGGCACACCCCTCACACGCTTCGTGGCCCCATCGGGAGCTCCATCTAGGGTCCCAGTGGCGCCGCTCGCATGGCGGCCTCGGGTCATTTCGGCGCACCCCTCACACGTTTCGTGGCCCCATAGGGAGCTCCACCTAAGGTCCCAGTGGCGCCGCTCGCATGGCGGCCCCGGGTCATTTCTGCACACCCCTCACACGTTTCGTGGCCCCATAGGGAGCTCCACCTAAGGTCCCAGTGGCGCCGCTCGCATAGCGGCCTCGGGTCATTTCGGCACACCCCTCACACGCTTCGTGGCCCCATCGGGAGGCTCCACCTAAGGTCTCAGTGGCGCCGCTCGCATGGCGGCCTCGGGTCATTTCGGCACACCCTCACACGTTTCGTGGCCCCATAGGGAGCTCCACCTAAACTCCCAGTGGCGCCGCTCGCATGGCGGCCTCGGGTCATTTCGGCACACCCCTCACACGCTTCGTGCCCCATAGGGAGCTCCACCTAAGGTCCCAGTGGCGCCGCTCGCATGGCGGCCTCGGGTCATTTCGGCACACCCCTCACACGTTTCGTGGCCCCATAGGGAGCTCCACCTAAGGTCCCAGTGGCGCCGCTCGCATGGCGGCCTCGGGTCATTTCTGCACACCCCTCACACGTTTCGTGGCCCCATCGGGAGCTCCATCTAAGGTCCCAGTGGCGCCGCTCGCATGGCGGCCTCGGGTCATTTCGGCACGCCCTTCACACGTTTCGTGGCCCCATAGGGAGCTCCACCTAAGGTCCCAGCGGCGCAGCTCGCATGGCGGCCTCGCCCCATTTTGGCACACCCCTCACACGTTTCGTGGCCCCATAGGGAGCTCCACCGAAGGTCCCAGTGGCGCAGCTCGCATGGCGGCCTCGGGTCATTTCGGCACACCCCTCACTTGTTTAGTGGCCCCATAGGGAGCTACACCAAAGGTCCCAGTGGCGCAGCTCGCATGCCGGCCTCGTTCTATTTGGGCACACCCTCACACTATTCGTGGTCCCATAGGTAGCTCCACCAAAGGTCCCAGTGGCGGAACTTGCATGGCGCCGCCGCTTCATTTTGGCACACCCCTCACACGTTTGGTGGCCCCACAGGGAGTTCCGCCTAAGCTTACAGTGGCGGAACTCGCATGGCGCCGCCGCTCCATTGTGGCACACCTCTCACACGTTTCGTGGCCCCATAGAGAGAGCTCCACCTAAGGTCCCAGTGGCGGAACTCGCATGGCGCCGCCGCCCCATTTTGGCACACCCTCGAAGGACGAGGATGAAGGATGAGGACGAGGAGGAGGAGGAGGAGGACGAGGACGAGGACGAGGACGAGGACGAGGACGAGGACGAGGATGAGGACGACGACGACGAGGAGGACGACTCGTCGTCGTTACCGTCGTCGTAGTCGTCCTCCTCCTCCTCCTCGTCGTCGTACTCGTCGTCGTACTCTTCGTCGTTCCCGTCGTCGTCGTCCTCCTCCTCGTCGTCGTACTCGTCGTCGTACTCGTCGTCGTATCCGTCGTCGTAGTCGTCGTCGTACTCGTCGTCGCATTCGTCGTCGTTTTCGTCGTCGTACTCGTCGTCGTAGTCGTCATTGTCCTCGTCGTCGTACTCGTGGTCTTACTCGTCGTCGTATTCAGGAGGAGGACGAGGAGGATGAGGACGAGGACGAGGAGGAGGAGAAGGAGGAGGAGGTGGGGGAGGACGCCTCCGGCTCGGGCAACATGACCGCTTGCTCCGCTCGCCAGGAGGAGGAGGAGGAGGAGGAGGAGGAGGAGGAGGAGGAGGAGGAGGAGGAGGGGGAAGACCGCCGTGGCCGCTGTCGCTGCCGCCGATGCCGCCGTCGCTGCCGCCGTCGTCGCCGTCGGCGCCGCCGTCGCCGTCATGCTCGCGGCCGTGGACGCGCTGATCGCCTTCATACGAGCATGACGACGAGCACGCCGACGAGTACGACGACGAGTACGATGACGAGTACGACGACGAAAACGACGACGAGCATGACGACGAGTGCGACGACGAGTACGACGACGGCTACGACGGCGAAAACGACGACGAGTACGACGACGAGTGCGACGACGAGTACGA